GTGACTCCATCCTGGAGAGAAATATCAGCTGTGCTGCTGCCATCAACACCTTTGTTTCTAGATGTTGGAGCTTGGTTTGTTTTTTAGTATTTAATCCTGTTTCTTTCCTGTAGCTATGAGGTCAGCTTTTACTGGGACTAACTAAATGTTTTCTCTTTCATCCCTTTGACACTGAACTGGCTCAGAGCTCGTCTGATTAACCGTTAATTTCCCAGACCTGTAGGGCTGGCTACCAAACAAGTTTCTGTAATTGGCGGTAACGTTAAACGTGATTGCGTCACCAGGAAAAATACATACATGATGAGGCCTACCGACGGGGTCCACGTTTGCCTCGTTGAACCGCTTAAAAATGCCACCCAGGTCAAAAGTGTGGCTTCAATTTCTTAAGACAGATGCCAATAGTGCGCAATGCAATAAACGCAAAATACAAATTTTTGGTAAGGCTGGCAAAACAACTAATTTGATGAAGCACCTAATCGTGTACGGGATCAATTTAAGAGCGGAAAGTTGCTCGGTGTTTGACTGCAAGACCCGGACCGCAGCCGGCGCCACCATCCTCCTCTCAGCAGTCCATGGCCAGTGAAAAACCGGAGCGGAGTGATTTATAATATCAACCACCGGACTCTGCCTCATCAGGGAGCACAGAGACGGCACGGTGTCTGGAATTTCAACAGGCAAGTTAACGTTCATTAGCGTTACTTCAACTTAACACGTGCATCATGCTGAGTTAGCATGTAGCCTTGTTTTAATGCTGTGTAGCTAGCTAAATCAAAAGCTACCCTTTACAGACAACGATTAGCTTGTAAAAATATGTCTATCCATTGGGTCTGCTGGTTAAACAGCTAACCTTATCTTCACTGTTAGTTTTATATTCTCCTCATAGTAGCCTCTGACTGGTATCGGAAAAATATCATTCAGGAACCAATATCGAAGTCAAGGTATCGGTATTGGTACCGATATCGAAAACCTTTGATAGATAGCCAGCCCTAGTTACCTGTGGAGCTAGCTTACTGTTAGCATATCTAACATATAAATGCTTTCTAGATCAGCTCTTTATATCTCCAGTTTCATGTCTGCTTGAACCCCAGTGGGCCTCAGCTGGCAGCTCACACTGAGCCTGGTTCTGCTGGAGGTTTCTTACTCCACAACAGAGTTTTTCTCTCCACTGTCGCTGCATGCATGTAGCAATTCTTGCTCCTCTGGATAGTTAATAGTCCAGGATAGAAATTAACGGGATAACTGTCAGATATGCAATTTGATCCCTGCTGTAAGGAGAACCGCCGTATGCTGAGGAGGCTCTGTACCTGAGGAAGATGTCCTTGGGCTGGCAGCGGGAGTTGGGGTGCACCAGTTGCTCCTTTAGGTTCTCCAGTGAGCAGTTGTACACATAAAGTGGACACCTCAACTGGCCGCTGCTGGAGGTGCTCTGCTGGGACACCTGCCTGCTGAAACCAAAGGTCAACTTTTCTTTCTTTGGTTCGGAAAATTGGACCGCTTCTTTTCCCCCAGGTTCTGAAACCATTAGAATAAGGTTGTTAGTTGTGGTGCAATCAGACGTGGGTTACTGCTGTTCTCGGCTCATTCTCAACCAAACCAGTATGACCAACCTGAGCCCGGTGTCCCAGCCTCCACCTCTGACTGCCTGCTGTCCGCGTAAACAGGCGACAAGTCCTCAGGCTCAGTGTGACTCTCAGATGGGGATGTAATGAGGGAGGACCTGGCCGAGATGTTCCCACAGCTAGAGCTCCTGCACAGCTTAGAGACCAGGTAGGTCAGGGTGGACTCTGACCTGTCGGGTCCACTGGTGGAACCTGACAGAGAGTCTTCTTGAGACTTGTTGCTGGGAGTCAGAGTATCGTCCTCTTGTGTGCTGACCATACCTCCAGGCTCAGCTCCTGATGCCATAAGCATCAGGACATCTGAGGAGAAGATAAAACATGCTGTAAAGCCAGCTCATCATTGCTCACGACTTATCCCTAAGCTCACCTCACGTACCTGTGAAGGTAGCAGGCAGGAAGGTGAGGAAAAGCTGCTGGGAGCTGATGTACTTGGCGTAGCACCTCCACTGTGGGACAGAGGAAGCCCTCTCTCTGAACAGAGGCTCCTCATCAACAAGCTCTGCATTGCTGAAGCTCTGAAAAGCCATGTTTGGTTCACAGGGATAGACCGGTTACTACAGCAACAGCACTTTGATAATTAATCACATCATCCACAACCTACATTCAACATCAAAGTAAGTACATCATCTTTGAATCGAACAATATCATCCGTTTATTTTTCAGGCTTGATGAGGAGAATCTGCAGGGGTGTTTGGGTTCTGTACCCTGTTGATCACCCTGACCCCATCCATCTATGAGGCCGGCCCTCGTTCTGGTTTGGAATACGGCTCATATACCAGGTTCTGGGCTCACCTTAACCCGTAAACCAATCCTGACTAAGCCTAGGTTAGGACAGGTGATCAACATGGTTAGTCTTTATTTGATTCCCTCACTGGATGAGTTGCTTGTGTGTTCAGTTAAACACTAATGTGAGCATAATGTTTCCAGTCTAGATGTTCTGGAACAACCATCAGATTTACTATTCATCTCTACTAGAATGCTAAGCTAGCTCCAACAGTGTTCTCCCTCTGTTGTCTCCACATGGAGATGTGTTTTACTAGCTGGTTATCAGATTGCTACTGTCGAGCTACTCCTACTCCCAGTCTGATTCATAATAACTCAGAACCACCTGATACGTCCTGATAATACAAAATGACATGAAATCAATATATCAATGCCTTTAGGTCAGTTCATCCAGACAAACTGGTTTAAAGCTCCCTCTTACTCTGCTGATTGCACACAGTCACTGACATAAAAATCAGCATCAAAACTTGCTTTCTCACAGTTCTCAGTTCTAAGAGGGAAAAATCTGTAAACATTTCTTTATCATATTTAGCATGAATTACTACAGTTGGCAATGTCTCTAAACTGCTCTGGTGACGAGTTACACAGTGTAACAGCTCAGATGGCGTGTTGCACAGCGTAACAGCTCAGATGGCGTGTTGCACAGCATAACAGCTCAGGTGGCGTGTTGCACAACGTAACAGCTCAGGTGGCATGTTGCACAGTGTAACAGCTCAGGTGGCGTGTTGCACAACGTAACAGCTCAGATGGCGTGTTGCACAACGTAACAGCTCAGATGGCGTGTTGCACAACGTAACAGTTCAGATGGCGTGTTGCACAGTGTAACAGCTCAGGTGGTGTGTTGCACAACGTAACAGCTCAGGTGGTGTGTTGCACAACGTAACAGCTCAGATGGCGTGTTGCACAGTGTAACAGCTCAGATGGTGTGTTGCACAACGTAACAGCTCAGATGGCGTGTTGCACAGTGTAACAGCTCAAATGGCGTGTTGCACAGTGTAACAGCTCAGATGGCGTGTTGCACAGTGTAGCAGCTCAGATGGCGTGTTGCACAGCGTAACAGCTCAGATGGCATGTTGCACAGTGTAACAGCTCAGATGGCGTGCTGCACAGCGTAACAGCTCAGATGGCATGTTGCACAGTGTAACAGCTCAGATGGCGTGCTGCACAGCGTAACAGCTCAGATGGCATGTTGCACAGTGTAACAGCTCA